GCCCCTTGTCTGCCTTTATTTGCCCCTTGTCTGCCTTTATTTGCCCCATGTCTGCCTTTATTTGCCCCTTGTCTGCCTTTATTTGCCCCTTGTCTGCCTTTATTTGCCCCTTGTCTGCCTTTATTTGCCCCATGTCTGCCTTTATTTGCCCCTTGTCTGCCTTTATTTGCCCCTTGTCTGCCTTTATTTGCCCCTTGTCTGCCTTTATTTGCCCCATGTCTGCCTTTATTTGCCCCTTGTCTGCCTTTATTTGCCCCTTGTCTGCCTTTATTTGCCCCGTGTCTGCCTTTATTTGCCCCAGAGCACCTTCTATTCTAAAAGCCCACCGCCAGCACCCACTGCTTTGTTGGGGTTTCCTTTCCCTGCACCACATGTTTGGCCCAGTCTCTCCTCCCTGCAAGATGCATTTATTCATCAGCTTTAATCTCCTGGTGGTGTGCATTTATTGGGCTTTCCTCTTGCCATGCCATGCATTTGTCAGGGTTTGCTCTTCCCGTGACATATATTTATTGGGGTTTGCTCTCATCTGTCAAGATCTCTCTCTCCATGCCATGCATTGATTGGGGTTTGCTCTCCATGACACACAGCTATCGAGGTTTCCTCCCTTAATGCCACGTACTTATTGGAGTTACTGCTCAAAACCGTTCTTTTATCAGGGCTTGCTCTCAATGCCATGCATTTATTAGGGTTTCCTCTCTCAATGCCATGTGTTTATTGGGGTTGCCACTCAAAGCCATGCATTTATTAAGGTTTCCTCTTGACGACATGCATTTATTGGACTTGCTTCCTCCATGCCATGCATGTATTGTGCTCTTTCCATGCATTTATCTGGGTTTCTTTTCTCAATACCATCCGTGCATTCGTTGGGGCTTGCTCTTGATTACGTGCAATTATTGGGGTTTCCTCTCGCCATGCCATGAATCCACCTGGCTTTGCTCTCCATGCCCTGCATCTCTGGATGTTTCCCCCTTCCTCTCCGCGCAGTGGCTGAAGGCTGACGAGGTGGAGAAGGGCAGCAGTGGCACTGCCATCCGCATCGAGAACCCCAACCAGTTTGTGCCCCTCTACACCGACCCTCAGGAGGTGCTGGAGATGAGGAACAAGGTGCGTTGCCATCCGGGTGACCCTGGATGCGGGGTCCCAAGGGTCCCAAGGACAACGGGTCCACGTTTTCCCATCCTCTCTCTGCATCTCTCTTGTAGATCCGTGAGCAGAACCGCCAGGACGTCAAGTCTGCAGGGCCGCAGTCCCAGCTGCTGGCCAGTGTGATCGCCGAGACGAGCCGCAGCCCCGTACGTCCCCCGTGTCCCCAAGTCCCCATTCCTCCTCGTGCCAGGGGGTGACGCTGCTATTTGGGGGGGGGGGGTTCAGTCCACAGAAAGCCATTTGGGGGATGCCGAGACCAAAAACCCATCCCAAGAGGAGGTCCCAGCTGAGCCGGAGCCCCCGAACCCCTTCAGCCAGCTCACGGACCAGGAGCTGGAGGAGTACAAGCGGGAGGTGGAAAGGAAGAAGCTGGGGCTGCACGGTACGAGCTGGGGGGACCGTGTGCATCCCAGAGCCCCATTATGGGGTCTGTAGCCATCTGTCTGTCTGCAGGAGACAAGGAGGAAGAGGAGACCCAGGCATCCCCCCCAAAATCACCACCGGGGTCTCCAAAATCCCCCAACAAAAGCGCAGCCCCAGAGGGTCTGGAGGGTGAGTGGGGTGTGGGCGGAGAGGGCTGAAGAGCAAAACCCCTGTGGAAAACGTGGGTAAACATCAGCAGTGCCTTCGTGCTGCCCCACAGCAGTGGGGATGCACGGTAGCCCCATACCTGCCGCCTCCCCTTAAGGTCCATGCAGGATTTTGGTACTCACCAGGGGGGCTCCCGGCGTCGTTGCCCACACATCGCATGCACTTGTCATATGCAACCTGCACGGGCCGGGGCACGGGGGGGGCGACGGTGGGGGCTGCTGGCTGTCTCATCGTGTCTCATGGTGTCCGTCTGTCTGTCTGTCTCCACAACGTCTTCCTTTCTCTTTCCTCCATGTGTCGCTTTCACCCCAGGAGTTCCCCCTGACTCTGAATGCTTATCACTGTAGTAAGTACGGAGGGGCCGGGCTCCAGCAGCCCGCTCAGCGCCTGCAGCAGGACGTGCCTTGGGTTGCCTTGCTGGTGTTGCCCGCTTTGTTCCATTGCTGAGGCCGGGATGTGGGGCTCTGCCCCATGTTCCATCCTGTGGGGAGGGGAAAGGCTCAGGGAAGCGGTGCGTCGCGTCCCGGCGCGCTGTGCTGCGCTTACAGGGTTGGATCCTGCTCCTGCCCGGGGTGACACGGGGAGGGTGATGCCGGCTGGCGGCCCCGCGGCGCTCACCTCTCCCTCTCCCTTTGTCAAGGTGACAAGAAGGTGGAGGATGGCCAAGCTCCGGCCGATTCCTCCGCCGAGAAGGAGCCGCCTGCGGTGGTCAATGGGAAGGATGAGGAGCAGAGCACGGAGGAGAGCAAAGGGGGGGACCAGACGAGCACCCCGGCCAACCCAGAGCAGGATGCCCCCAAGGAGAAGAGCGAGATGCTGACCAGCACCCCCGTCTCCCCCGAAGGCTCACCCTCCAAATCACCCTCCAAGAAGAAGAAGAAATTCCGGACCCCGTCCTTCCTGAAAAAGGGCAAAAAGAAGGAAAAGATCGAATCTTGAGCCTCTCCCCCCTCCCCCCGTGGCTTTGGCCGAGCGTCTTTCCAGACGGATGCGTCTGCGCCGTGCGTCTGGCCGTGGCGCAGCCAAAAACCCTGGAGGTGAACAATCCGGGAGCCCTCGGCACGAGGCACCAAGTCCCCCCCGTCACCCGCTTCGGAGGTGGCCGCTGAGCTTACCGAGAGATTTTGGCCCCTGTCTGCTGCTTGGGGAAATACCCACCGCCACGTCCCCGCTCCCACCAGCGCTCCCCCGTCTCTCCCAGGCACCCACGTGGCCTCTGAGGTTTGTTTATCCCACCCGCTGCTTGCAGAGCCCTCGTGCAACGCGGAGGCACAGCCCGGATGCGCTTGGTTTTGAGAAAGAAACAGGTGTGCTGTCGTCGCTGGTTTTGGGTCTTTGACCCAAACCATTTTGTTTCACGCTCTGCTGGAATGGCGCTGGCTTCGCCCCTGGCATCTCTTTGCCAGGGTGATGGGATGGAGCCCAACACCGGAGGATTGCTCTCCCCGAAGGAGAGCACCTGGGACACTTTCCTTCTCGGATCGCAATCTTACCCCAAGGCTGTGAGCCACCTCGGTCCCCTTCTCCTGGTGCCACACTCACACGTTTGCTGCTTGGTGGAGAGCAGCAGGGTTTCTGCACCGCACCTGAGAACACAGAAGACGAGGAGCCTCGGGGCAGAGTCACGTAAAACTGAGCAAACTTCACTCACTAAGTGCTACTTTGGGATGAACACACGCTGCCAATTCACTTCAGTAGGAGGCACTGCCCTGGTCCCCCCACACCACGTCGATGAGTGCCTGTACACGTAAAGAGCACGAGAGCCCCGAGGCCGAACCGCTGCTCAGCCCAGCTCTGGACTCCTGAGCACACGCACAGATCCTCCCCATCCTTCCCCCAGCCTCACCTCCCCATGCCCAGCCATGCAACCCAAAGGGAAGAAGAAAAAGCAGCTCTGAAGCCTGGAAAAGTCTGGTGGCTTTTTTTGGGGTGTGGGAGTCATTTAAGGTCGAATGCAGGGCTGCTGCAGGCAGGAGATGGAGAGGAGGAAATGCGTAAGATAGGGTTGGTTTTCTTTATGGGGCTGCAGTTTGGGGTGGGCCAAGCAACTTCTAAAGGGGAGAGTAAAAATAAATTGCAAAACCACAACCCCAGCAGGAATGTCCTCCCCCAGCACTGAGGTTTTGCAGCCTGAGAATCTTTGCTGTGCCCCCGTGTCCTCGCTGGCATTCTGCTAGAGGCTGCAGTGTGGATTAAGTTGGAGGGAACCTTGCAGGCTGCCCGGTTCCACACCTTGCCCTCAGCCTGTCCATCTCCAGGATGGGGCACTTCCAGCTCTGGGCAGCATTGCCTCACTACCTTCTGAGTAAAGAATCTCCTGCTGCCTAAATCTAATCTCAATCTCCCATCTTCTAGCTCGAAGCCATTCCCCCTTGCCCTGCTGCCATCAGAAAGTCCTGCTGATGAGCAGCCTTTAAGCGCTGGAGAGCTACAGTGAGGTTTCCCTTCGGCTGCCCTCAGCCTTTCTTCCCAGGGTTCACCCGCTGCTCTCCTCTCGTTTTCCCTTGCTGCTTTTTCTCCTCTCCTGGGCCCCACCGTGGCCCTCAGCACCCCTGAACCCCAACCACCCCACGGTGGGTTTTTGGCTCCCATTTCCAGGGCTGTGGCTGGAATGGAGGCATCCCAGCCAAAGCGCAGGGCTGGGAGTGGAGGATGAAGCAAAGAAAAGGCTTTGGGGCACCATCACAGCACTGAAGGATGCCTGAAGGCCCCGTGGCGGTTGGTGGCCGCGGGGTTGGGCTGCAGGTCGGTGCTGGGAGCGCTGTGTAACGCCTGCCTGTACATAAATAAACCCCGTGTTCGGCCTCCGTGCGCTCAGAGTCCATGGAGGGATGCGGTGGGGTGGGCTGGGGTTGGGGGTATGGCTCCGTGTGATGGTGCTGGCGGACCCCAGCCTCGCAGCGGGCCCAGCCCCGAGCCATTCTCGCTTCTGGAGGCCGAGAGGGGCTGCCCGGGGCGGGGCACTGCGCGGTTTCCCCCCTCCCGGAACGTTTTGGTGGTGGAACCAAAGCGCTGCGGCGCTGTTTCTGGACGGAACGTGGAGAGAACGGAGCGGAGCGCCGGAAGTGGGGGGGGCTGCGGACGGAAGTGGGGTGAAGGGGCGGTGCCATGGGACGCAGCCGGTCCCGCTCGCCGCCGCGGCGCGGTGAGGAAACGGGAGGGAGCGGAGCGGGACGGGGGAGCGGGACGGGGGTCCGGATCCGGGGTTGGGGGCCTGAGGGCGGCCAGGAACAGGGGAAGGGAATCCCGGGAGGGCTGCGGGACAGCGGGGCCCGGGGATGTGCCCGAGGCCTTCCCGGAGGGACGAAAATGAGGGGGCAGCGGGGCCCTGCTCCCTACTTTTCCTTTTCCTTCCCCTTCCTCCTCTCCCACCTCCCCCCCCTCCCCGCTTCCCCCTCCCCCCTTCCCTCTCCGCCGCTCACCGCACTCTGCTCCTCTCCCGCCCCACTTCCCGCAGACCGCCGACGCTCGCGATCTGCTTCGCGGGATCGGGAGAGGAGGCGAAGGGAACGGACGCGATCCCGGGACAGGGACAGGAGGAGGACCCGCTCTCGCTCCCCGCACCGGCGGCGATCCAGGTGAGGCTCTCGGTGCCGGCAGGACCTCCCGCCGCTCCCTTTAGCAGCCGGCCCGCAATGCTGCGGTTCCCGCGAGGCTGAACCGTGCGTGCCGGCCGTTGCCAGGTCCCCCCGGAGGCACCGCTCCAGCTCCTCCTCCCCTCTGCGGCTGAAGGAGAGACGAGATGAGGAGAAGAAGGAGAGCAAAGACACCAAAGGCAAAGAGCGGCAGATCACGGGTGAGGCTCCGCCCCGGCGCTTTTCTCATGTTAATTCGTGCTGGAGTTCTTGGTACAACCAGCACGGAGGGCTCCGTGGGACTTTATTAAAGTCGGAACGCCGCCGGTTGTGTGAGGTGAACCCTTCTGTTTCGTTGCCTTTTCAGAGGAAGATTTGCAAGGCAAGACGGAAGAGGAAATAGAGATGATGAAGATGATGGGCTTTGCCTCTTTTGACACAACAAAAGTGAGTGTGCTGGGGTCGAGGCTGGCTTTCCTTACCCTGCAGGGCTGTGACAGGCAGTGCTTGGACGCCTCTTTGCCCAAGTGGTCCAGCAGGGTTGGTTATACCCCCAAAACTTATTCCTCTGCTTCCAGTCACCCATTCGGTGTGGGGGTTCTCCTTCACACATAGGGCGGTGAGGCACTAAAACACAAAGAGGCTGTGGATGCCTCAGCCCTGCAGGCATTCGAGGCCAGGCTGGATGCGGCTCTGGGCTGCTGGTTGGCGACCTGCACACAGCAGGGGGTTGGAACTGGATGAGCATTGCAATCCTTTGCAACCCAGGGCGTCCTGTGATTCATGGCCCAGAGCTGTGGCACTGCTGAGTTCTTTGCTCTGCTTGGTGTCTCCATGGATGCAGGCAGCTCTTGGTGCTGCACACAACTCTGGACTGATTTTTCTCCTCTTTCAGGGCAAGAAAGTGGATGGTGCTGCAAACGCATACGCCATCAACGTGTCCCAGAAGAGGAAATACAGGTTTGTGCTGTGGAGGTTGCACAGAACTCACTTGCTTTCCTGTGATAAAACAACGCTGTTGGGGACGGAAGGCATTTCAGAGGAAACTGAATGGCCAGGCTGCTGTCTGTGGGCACAGCGAGGTGCTGATCCGTTCCTTTTCCTCTCCCTGCAGGCAGTACATGAACAGAAAAGGAGGATTCAACAGGCCGTTGGATTTCATTGCTTGATGCTGCAGGGAGTGGGGAGCATCGCTGCCTTCCTCACGTGCTGCTGGCTCAGAGATGGGAGAGAACTCCATCATTAAAGTGAATTTGGGGTGATTTAGAGCAGGTCCGGGTGCACTCGCTCTGCCCTGCACCAAGGGAGGGCGAGGTGAAGCTCGTTGATCACCCAGCTCCGTTCGTCCCTTGCCAGGATTTCCTGCTGGTTGTATTTTTCCTGTTGTGTTGTTGTTTTTCAGTGGCTCAATGTTGTCTAATTAAAAACCTGTATATATTTTTCCATTTTGTTTCTCCCTCCACCCCCCCTGTTTGTCTGTGATTACTTCACTCAGGAATAAAGTCAGCGAGAAGAGGCTGCTGGAAGCCACCCAGCAGCTGTTTCCCCAGCTCAGCATTTGGGATTTGAGCCCAACAGCCTCAGTTTTTGCTTCTCCTTTGTGCATTCATTGGATCACCTCAGCTCAGGCAGGGATTCCCACTGGGCGGCTCTGCTCCGTGCGCTGCTGGGTGAGGATTTCACGCAGCCCCAGGAGGTGGCAGCACGGCCCTGCGGTCAAAAGCGCTTTCGTTCCCAGCTCGGGCAGCAGATAAACGTTACACCGATGCTTTCAGAACACGACGTGCAGATCCAAGCTTGGAGCTGAGCCTTTTGCAATGACGGTTCTGTAGGATTTTTTTTCTTCCTACCTTTTTTGAAGCTTCAGCTTGCCAAAACCGAGCCTCGTCCCCAATTAGGCAGCCCTGTGTCTCTGCTGGGTGACAGTGACACAGCCCTGCTGTCAGTGTGACACTGCCTCATTGGTGCCAGGTCATCCCTGCGGCACGCCTGGCGCCCCACGATAAGGCCCTGCTGCCACACAGGGATTCCCAACCCCCATCACTTTGTTGGCTTTCTCTCCCTTCTAATTAAAACTGGCTGCAGGTCCAAAAATGAGATGAAACCCCCTCCCTCCCCCCCCATTTTTTTTTTTGGTCTCACATAGGCTGCTTTCAGGAAGCTCGCAGCCAGCTGGGAGCAGCTCACCCCCAATCCCACCCTATTTTCCCCTATTTTCCCCTATTTTCCCCTATTTCCTATTTTCACCACACCAGTGTTTTGCTGTTGAAGGTATTTGTTTTCAAGGGTGAGGTTGGGGCGCTGTGCCCCCCTTTTGGGGCGCCCCCCCCCCCCCCCCCCCCCCCCCCCCCGGGTGGGGGGGGGGGGGTGCGGTGGCCGAGGTGGGTGAGTCACCACAGGGCAGGGTTGGGTTTCGGGGTGTGGGGAGGAAATGATGCTGAGCTGCCCCCTTCCCCCCCCCCTCCCCAAATTCATCCCACTGGGGCAAAAGCGCTGCTTGGGGGGTGGTTCCCTGCTGCTGGGGTGCTCTGGGATGAAGGGGCAGCAGCTTTGGGTGCTCGAGGGGCCCCTGCTGGTGTTGAGGGGGGGGGGGGCTACTTATAGGGACTTTCTGCTTCTCAGGGGGGCTCCAGGGGTCTCTGCTTATTGGAGGAGGGGAGGAACGTCCTCCCTTGTGGCCTCGGGCGCTGTTTTTTTGGGGGGGTCTCAAGGAGGTTCCTGCACCTGTGCTCGGGGGTCCCAGCTCGGGAAGGCTCGTAGCTTTTTAAGGGAGATCTGCCCGTAGGGAAGAGCGCCGGGAGGCTCCAGCTCCTTACGGGGTCTCCAGCCCTGCGGGGGTCCCTAAACCTGGCGGGGGTCGGGGGGTCCCCGCCCGCTCCCCATCAGCCCCACGTTGACACCCGGCGCCGGAGCCACGCCCCATCGTCCGCTCCTCGCCCTCCCATTGGCTGCAGGAGGCAGGAAGTGAGTCAGCCCCGTGGGCGGAGCCTTCCGGCTCACCCAATCACAGCTAGTCCACCCAGAGGGCCAGTCTGATCGTCGACGGCGGGTGGGGGCGGGGCTTTCCTCGGGGCCGAACCAATCGCGGAAGGGCGTGTCTGCCAACTGTCCAATCGCGAAAACCGACGGGGGGGCGGCACCCAATGAGAGGCGGCGGTGGGCGGGGCTGACGGAGCGGCCGGGCGAGGCGCTCACCCCAGAGCGGCCCGGCCCGGCCCCGCAGCGCGGCGATGGCGGCGGTCGGTGACGACGGGTCCGGAGTCGGGTCCAGCATCGGGCTGCTCCTGGAGGCGGCCGAATACCTGGAGCGGCGGGAACGAGGTACCGGCATCCCGCTGTGCCCCTTTTGGGACCTCCCGGTTCCTCCCGGCGCTGCCCGTTCCCGTTGTGTCCCCACAGAAGCCGAACACGGCTACGCCTCGCTGCTGCCCGGAGCTGGACGAGCCCGCAGGGAGAGCCCGAGGCGCCGCGGGAAGGGCCGGAGGAACGGCGGGGGCGGCAGGTACCGGGAGGGAGGAGGGAGGACCCATAGGATCCCATAGGTACCCTTAGGAACCCATAGAAACCTCATAAGGACCCATAGGGACCCATAGGGATGCATCGGGATCCATAGGTACCCATAGGACCCCATAGGAACCTCATAGGGACCCATAGGAACCCATAGGGACCCATAGGAACCCCATAGAAACTCATATGAATTCATCGGGACCCATAGGTACCCGTAGGAACCTGTAGGAACCCATAGGAACTCCATAGGGACCCATAGGAACCCCATAGGAACTCATAGGGATGCATCAGGACTTACAGAAACCCATAGGGACACATAGGAACCCACAGGGACTCATAAGAACTCATAGGGACCCACAGGGACCTGTAGGAACCCGTAGGGACCCTGCTGTCAGCCGGGAGTCAGCAGCTGTCATGGGGCACTGGGCTGATCTGGGGATGTGGAGGGCTCTGCTTGCGTCCAGAAACTGGGATCTGTTGGGGCTTGTTGGAATCCCACTGCTATGGGGGGCTGGGAGGGCTGGGGGCTTTTGGGGGCCTGTGGGAGCTCTGGGGACAGTGCAGTCAGCTGGGGGTCAGCAGCTGTCATAGGGTGCCAGGTGGGGTGGGGGATGTGGAGGGCTCTGTTGTCACTGGGGTCTGTTGCAGGGGGTCTGGCTGCACTGGGGGCACTGGGGATGCTGCTGGAACCTGGTGGTCAGGGCCTAACAGAAGGCTCCAGGCTGATTTGAGGGTGTGGGGGGACCTGCTTGCACCCAGAGACCATGATTTGTTGGGATCCTGCGGTCATAGTGGGGCTGGGGGGACTGGGGAACATAGGGGGGACCTTTAGGGGCTCTGGGGTCACCGCTGTCAGCCGGTGGTCAGCAGCTGTCATGGGGCACCAGGCTGATCTGGGGATGTGGAGGACACTGCCTGCATCCAGAGTTTGGGATCTGTTGGGGCTTATTGGAATCCCACTGCCATGGCCACCCGCGGACGCGGGTCGCCGGGGGGGGGGACTTTGGGGTCACCGCTGTCAGCGGGGGATCAGGAGCGGTCATGGGGTGCCAGGTGGGGTGGGGGATGTGGAGGGCCCTGCTGTCACCGAGGTCTATTGGGATCCCTGTTGCTGGGGGTCTGGCAGCACTGGGGGCACTGGGGATGCTGGTAGCACCCGTCAATTCAACAGAAGGCTCCAGGCTGATCTGGGCGCATGGGGGGACACCCAGAGATTGGGGTCAGGGTCTGTTGGTGTCCCTGTCCTGGGGGTCTGGCAGCTCTGGGGATGATTGGTACCTGTCCCTGAACCTGGAGACGCTGCTGTCATTGGATGCTCAGAGTCTATTGGGATTCCAAGTCACACAGCACACAGTGGGGTTCGGGGCTGTGGTGGGGACCCTTGGGGACACAGGAGGTGCTGCTGTCACCTGGTGATCACAGGTGGGGTGGGGGGGGGGGGGACTGGAGGAGACACAGCTGGCTTTGAGGGATTGTAGTTTGCTGGGCTGCCCCATTGTGGGATGTCTGGTAGAACTGTGGGCCGTGGGGCACCCATGAGGGCATTGCTGTCACCACCAGCACTCCACAGAGCTGCGCGGTGGCTCTGCACCCCCTGCCACCCCTCCACACCCCGGGCAGGGGGTGGGCATCCTGGGGACGTCCTCTGTTGGGGACTGAAGGTGCCATCAGACGACGTGGCAGAGCAGGATGCCGATTTGGGGCTTTGTTTTGGGGATGTTCCCTTGGCGTGGTGCATGGCGCCCAGGTTCCGTTTGAGGGCTCTCAAAGTGGCGGATGAGATTAAGATCCTTTGTTTGGGGAGGAGCGCTCTTGCCCTGAAATGTCACTCGTGGCAAATCGCTGCCACTCCTCCCAGCTCCTTCCTGCTGTTTGCTCAGGGAGGAGCAGCTCTGCCATCTCAGGGGCATGGCACTGCGTCCTGCTCCGGCGTGGGGGACGGGTGACCTTCGCCAGCTGTGACAGCAGGATGTCCCCATCCTGACCGCAGTCAGTGAGCGCTCCGAGGTCCCTTTCTGGGAAGACGTGGGCCTTCATTCCTCACTAAGCGTTGCTCACAATGGGAGCAGCAGGACTTGTGCTTCAGAGCTGCTCACGTACCTCGGAGACGCGGTGGAGCTGTGCATGGGGTTGGCGTTAGGATGAGGAGAGCTTCCCCTTCCTGCGCGGTGCTGCTGAGCGGTGGTTGGGCCCCTTTGCTTCCTCCTCTCCCTTACAACCACTCATCCAGGGAGTGTGTGTGTGTGTGTTGGGTGCTACTGCCTGTGCTGTTGGTGTTGCTTTGTGCTCCCCTGTGCTGCTGCTCCCCTTTCCAGCAGCGAGCCCCTTCCCATCCAGACCACCTCAGTTGGGTTTCCAGTCCCTGGCGCTGCCATCTCGCTGGGTTCCTCTCCCTGCCCGCCTCTCTGCCACCACATTTGTCATCCTGGGTGCGGTGACCCCTCTGCAGGGACCCCTGCTGTCCACCACCCTCCTGGAGACAAGCATTTCACAAAGTGCTCTTTCTATTTCAGGTCAACGCACAATGAGATGGAAAAGAACAGGTGAGAATGGGCTGGGATGCACGTGGAATCTCTTTTCCGTTGCGCATCAGGGCTGCCCCACACCTATTCCAGGAGCGCTGCTTGGTGTGTGTGTGCTGCAGCTCTGTATGCTCAGCCCACCTGGGGCAGGCAGCTGGAATTGTCCTGTGGCTTTTTCACGCTCCAGGGGCAGGTTTAAATCTCACGTCTCCCCCCCGGTGAGCTGCTGGGGTGCATCCGAGTGGTTCCTCATTCCCCTGTGTGGGCACCAAGCTGGGTGTGAGCAGCTGTCCCTCTCTGGGGACACCACCTTTGTGGTAGCTTCTCATCCCCAGTGCGTGCATCTGGGCTGGCTGCTCACCTCCCACGTGTGGACGGATCTCTTGCAGGTCGGCGCAGCCCCAGCTGATGGAAAACAACGTCTGTGAGGGCTCAGCTTTGGTTGGGTTTGACCCCAGCAGCACGAGCGCGTGTTTTGTTGGCGCTGTCACGCAGGAGGCACTCAGTGCAGGCAAATGCCTGTTTATTTGCGTGTGGAACGAGATAGGCAGGTCATTGCAACATCCCCATCTGCCTCGAGTGTGTCAGTGGGGTACGGCACAGGCGGTGTTGCAATGGGAACAGAACCGGAATATTGGGGCTGGGGAGCTGAGCACGGGGCGTCCTGCGCTGCCATTCGTGCAGGTGGGAGCGTGGAGCGCTGCCAGTTGTTGGTTTCTGACCCAACAGAAGCTCGAGGGGCGCGCTGGCTTTGCAGCCCCGTGCTGGATGTAGCAGGAGCAGTTTTATTTTGCTGTCCCTCCATGGACATGGAGGCGAAGATGCCGTGTGATGTTGGGGTTTGCTGAGAGCTCCGATGGTTTTCTTCCAGGCGTGCCCACCTGCGGCTGTGTCTGGAGAAGCTGAAGGTGCTGGTGCCGCTCGGCCCCGAATCCAGCAAGCACACGACGCTGAGTTTACTCATGAAAGCCAAATTGCACATCAAGGTGAGTCTGATGGCGCCAAAAGTCCCTGGAGAGCAGAGGGCTTGGAGAAAGCTGCTCGTGCAGAGCATCCCGAAAGCCCTCAGCATTGCTCCTGCTTGATGGGCACCGTGTGGCCTCCTGGTGCGTCGGCTGCTTTACGGTTTGCTCTTTACACTGTGACTCTCACCGAGCACATTTGGTTTTATGAAGCAGCAGAGAACCATGGGCAGCACGGCGGGACACCAGTGCCTTATCAAAGCCTGGAAATAGAAAAAAGAAATAGAAAAAAGCACTGCACAGGAACTGTTCAGAGGAGGGAGCGTTGTTGGTGTGCCAGCTGTCTGCCATGGCGTTGCATCAGCAGCAGTCTGGCTCTGAAAGGGACTGGGAGACTTGGGCAGCCTGATCTGGTGGGCGGTGGGCAGCCCATGGCATGGGTTGGGGCTAGAGGGGCTTGGAAGGCCCTTCCAACCAGCTGTGGTGTGAGGCCATGACTCTGATCTTTAAGGTCCCTTCCAGCCCAACCATTCTAGAGTTCCATGGTTCTGTGACCTTTAAGGACCCTTACAACCCAACCCTGGTGTGATTCCATGATTCAAGAACACTTCCAACTCAACCACTTTATAATTTTATGGTTCTGTGACCTTTAAGAACCCTTCCAACCCAAGCATTCTATAATTCTATAGTTCTGTGACCTTTAGGAATCCCTCAAACACAACCATGCCGTGATTCCA